GTGCCCTGTGCGAGCTGTGCCCCGTGTGCTGCGCTTCCCCCGGGAGGCTTCAGGGTTTCCACTGCGCCTTGGGTGCGGTGCTCCTGCGCCTGGAGGAGAGGTTTTGTGTCAACCGGCCGCTGTGAGGGGTTGGAGCGACAGAATTCACCAGCTGGACCTTGCCCCCACCGCCCCAAAAGTTGGGAGCTGTCGGGATGCAGGGGAGATCCCAGCGTTTCTCCGTTAACCTCTTCCATGCTTAGTTTCGACTGTGGTGACTTCAGGCTTGACAGTTTCATGCTTAGGGTGTAGCCGGTGCCTTTAAACTACTCTGAAGAGCATCAGAGTTTTAAAGGCATTGATAAAATTATTCGGGAAAGATCAGAGGCTGACACCACGTTGCAGCCCATGATGCAGTTGCTGTCATGCAGTCTGTGTTCCCCCCAAGCTCTGAAATCTCAGATGTGTCTTGTTTTCTGTCTCTATAAGTCTTGCAGCCATCCTACTTAAAGAAACTAAAAGAAAGGAAAGGCTAAAAATTATTCGGAGCTCTTAAAGCTTGGTTTAGAAAAGTACATGAAGGATGTCTACACCACACAGCATAATACAAAGAACCTTGAATGATTGCTCCAACCCACTCCTTTTTTCTGGAGACTAATTTTTTCCAGGAGAATCCAGTATGTACACATGGTGTAGGATTTTCTGTTTCTATTGTGTGGGTATTGACTTAACTGAAAACTTCAGAGGTAGTACAAAGAGTTGTAAAAAGTGTTTGATTTACAGCCATTGCACTGTTCTCATTGTTCTCTATTTAAACTGCTCTTACCCATCCAGTTGGCTAGCCAGCGGGTTCTTAGGTCAGCACGCAATGTGACTTTAAGACCTGATAGACATCTTATTTAACGTAATAAACTGATAGCAGATGCTTCCTAGAAAAAGTAAGACTGTTTTAACAAAATAATTCATTGATATTTTTGTACAATAAATGTCTTGAATCAACTTAATATTAGACTGTTAGTACAGTTGGAGATGACACTTCTGTGCTAGCTACTATTAGTTCAGAGGATTACCTAGCAGAAAGTTTGCATGCTGGCTGAAATTCTTCATGAGGTTGGTCTATGCTGTAAGTCAGTGTGCGATAAAGGTGACAGCAGTTTGCTGATGGATATTAAGCAGTAAGAATACCTAGCGGTTATCAGAAACATCTTGAAGAGGGGGGAAGATCAGAGGATGAAATATGAAAATTAGAAATGTACCCTAAGGTGCTCTATAAATGAAGCCATTAGGAGTAGGATGTGTGATTGTCTACTTGTTCCCAGAGTTTGACATGGAAGCAGTCTGCAGAGTGGGTGAGCATCTCCTATGCAAGAAGAAACAAACTGTGGAAGAGCTTTGTCCTCAGCAGACTGACTTCTGGTTACTTCCAAATCTGTGGCAAGCTTCTCTAAACTGAAATGTTGGAAGTACTTAGTAGTTAATCTGTTCCTATGAACGGCCTCATGCAGCATTGCCCTGTATGAAACATCAAACCTAGGACTACTGCTTGCTTTCCAGCTCTGCCGGTGGTGCAGGTGTTTTGATACATGCGCTGAAGCTGGCAGTTTGTACTGGCAAACAGGACCTTTGGCTTGTATTCAGTCCCTCCATCAGCAGGGATTAGTGTGCATTACATCCAGGAGGAAATTAACCCCAAGAACCTTTCCAAAGTGAAATGCTGGAGGGCTTCTCTGTTCGAGCCAGCGAATAGCTGTTATGACTCTAAATGTAATAATCGGCTGCAGCATAGCTTCTGGTAGGAGTTTGGCTCAGCTTTCTCTGCTGACTGGCCATGATCCTTGCTTCTGTTGAGGTGGTTGTACTTCTGACTCGGGGGAACGAGGTCTGCTCTGAGGTGTTTACGCGCTCAGTTTGTGTGTTGAGAGCAAGAGTACAGGCTGAGTGCTTTTAACCTTACTTTCTGAACCATTAAATTTGATCAGTGAGTGTTGTAAAATAGTTACTAAGCAAATAAGCAACATCATCCCTGCTCAACACCCTTCATTATATGACAGTGTCACCCACAGACCCTTGCGAATGCAGTCCCTTGATTGCTGTGCAGACATAGGTAATGGCTGTGTTTTAATTTGTATTTGGATACAAGTCTCCTTTCCTCATCTGTTCCCAGCGTGGAAATAGGCGAGAGTGTACGCGGGGAGGATGTCTACATTGTGCAGAGCGGCTGTGGTGAGATCAATGACAATCTGATGGAGCTCCTTATCATGATAAATGCCTGTAAGATTGCCTCAGCCAGCAGAGTCACAGCTGTCATACCCTGCTTCCCTTACGCTCGGCAGGACAAAAAGGACAAGGTAAGGATGTGGCAAAGGTTTCTGCTGGGAAGATGAATGCACACCTTGAAAGTCCTAACTGCTGGTTAGGGATTGGATGAAGTTGAATATGTAGAGAAGGAGATAAAACTTATTTTAATTTCTTTAATCTCAGGGCATTGGGCTGCAAATCTATCTTTTCATAAAGATCTAGTTCTTGAAAAAAGACTAAACTGTAATCACCAGTTGATGAAAAGATGCAATGTTAATGAGTACTCCTTTTAGTAACTGCTTGTGAATTGTTGTCTAGAGGTGGAAGACTGACATCTTGATGAAGGAGTTGAGCTTGTCTTAAATACTGTTTTTTCATGTACTAGAGTCGAGCTCCGATCTCTGCCAAGCTGGTTGCAAACATGCTGTCTGTGGCAGGTGCAGATCATATAATCACCATGGACCTGCACGCATCTCAGATTCAGGTAGGAGCTGAAATCAGGGAAGTACTTACCTGCTCCAGTCTCAACCTCTTTACAGCTTGCAGGCTTTACAGCAGTCTGCTTCTTCGTACACACAGGAGTGATCAGGACCTGGGAACATGGTGCTGGAAGAGACTTGTAGAATTGGTCAGAAGAGAATGGGGAGATGGGTAACAGGTTCATCTGTAAATGAAATTATAGCTGTTCTTGATCAGACAAAGCATAATGAGTCCTGTGTAAACGAATGTTGGCCTAGTAAATGGTCTGTGCAACTTTTTGCCACACACTGACACTGTGTATTCTTAACTGTTCCTTTGAGAGCCTTATGATATTTACTGAATTGTCAGGGAGAAGTGCTCTGTTTGACACTGACTGCTGCCCTGAGGTTAGCTCTGCCTCCGGGTGTTCTGAGGGGTCAGTTGACCAGGACCCTGGTCTGATAGCTTGCTGCAGACAAGATGGGCAATCCCACTTGTATCCATTCAGTGCCACCCTTCCACGTAAACTGGCTTTGTTTGTCTCCCAAGCTGCTGGTGAATTTAAAATTACTCATCGGTTTTGCTGGCTTAGTGAACAGAATAGTCTCATAGGGCAATTGAAATCTTGACCAGAGCAGTGTAAGAGAATGGCAAGAGCATATCCAAGGGAGAGGCGGGACAGCAGGCTGTTAAATTATCAGTCTTGTCTCTTTCCACCTTGAGCAAGTGCTCTGAGACCAAGGAACCAACTCAGTGGAACTGAGAGGGGTGTGGCAGAGGGAAGGATATCTATTGTGTTGCTGCAAACACTTTGAATCCAAAAGGGCAAGATAGCTACTGCCTGGTGAAGTAGCTGGGCTGGCTGTCATTTTAGCAGTTCAAAATGCAGCCATTTGCACTGCAGTATAATTTATTCCAGTATAATTTGCCCAGAAATGCTTAGTCTCAGATAGAAAAAATCTAAGATGGCTTTCAGAAAGATCATGAAAGAAAAGAACAGAGCAAAAGGGGGTGTGCCTCTTCCCTTAGAGGCTTGGAGCTATGATGTGTGCCATAGGATTGACCTTTCACCAGCAGCGATGGTGAGACTCAACTGAATAATTGGGTTTGTGTATATAAGCTTCCACCATCTGGCTCGTTTCAGCCTGGTTCTTGTAGTTGATAGATTGCTGAGCACAAAAGGAATGATGATAGAAAGGATCTGGTACCCCTATACCTTGAATCATTCCTCTAGAGTAGCTGCCTCCACTCTCCTGCCTATTACTACCTGTCCAGGATTAACTTCTGGCTTTTTGTGACCTTTGAGGTTTACCTGGAGAAATCTGCTGGGTCAGTGTAAAGTTGTGGAACCAGCTGCATTAGTTTAAAAACAAATGTTACTCTAGCATTTTTCATAGGATTCTTGTAGATGCAAACAGTGTAGGTATTGAGCTTTAAAGATTGACTTTGTAAACAGGCAGCTAGCTGCTCCAAAAATAATTGCGTTTGATGCTGGTTTTCTGCACCCCCTTAGGTCAGAACTAGCTCCATGTTGTGAAGGTGTCATATGTGTTATTTATGCTGCTAAACTATTTCTGACTCTGAAGACTACTTACATTACTGTTCTGTGTATCCCAAAGGCTACTGCCCTTGCATTAAGGGAAGTAGAAAGAAAAGCTGAAAGCTGTGGTAAGGTGGTGACTGTGTGTCTGATCACATATAGAAGGCTTCTTCCAACTGTTTTTGGAATGTGACCTTCAGCTACATCTGTTCGTGTTGTCTTCCTTGCAGGGTTTTTTTGATATCCCTGTTGATAACTTGTATGCTGAGCCTGCTGTACTGAAATGGATCAAAGAGAATATTGCAGAGTGGAAGAATTGCACCATTGTTTCACCAGATGCTGGTGGAGCCAAGAGGTAAGCTGTCAGACAGCTAGCTTGAGGTGCTGGTTCTATATCTACTTGAATTCCTGAGAGCGCTTGTGGCCTTTTTCTTAAGACACATCTTCCCTCTGCCAGCCTGTCTTCTCTAAGACAGCCTGTGGCAACTAGTGAAGATATTCTTCCTAGGGAATGTTTAGAAGGCTTCTTGGGCTACATGGAGAATTAAATAGTTTCTAGAATCATAGTTTCATAGGTAGGAATTGCGCAATTACTATATCCCTTGGACCAAAACATTTTTTTTGTAGAAGGGTAATTCTGCAGGTTGAAAGAGGGAATCATGTAGCTCATACCCCTATGCCAAGACAAGGTTACTGCTGCTGGTTAATGATACATTTTTATCCAGACTGGTTTTTTTGCAGTATTAAGCTTAGTCTATTGAGGCATTTTCTTACTTTTTTACTCGATTTGAATATCTAGCTGGGGCTTAAGTCTGCTGCTGCTCTTCATGTTCCCTGAGAACGAGGAAGATAGATGGTTCCTTTACAAAAAGCCGCAGCATATGTTACAGTGCATTTTGACTTTGATAGTCTGACAATCTCCCATCTTCAGATGAACGTGACAGTTTGTGGGCAGTTCAGAATGTTCTCAGGTGCTTATTAGGAGAACCTAGGCTGTTCCTTCATGCTTCTGTATAAGGACACAGGTGTATTCTTTAAGCCAGAGTGTCACACCAAAACATTGGTTCATGCTGACCTGATTCACATTCACTGATTCATAGTGTTTTAAGCTATCTGTTAAAAACAGCCAAGAGATACTACTCCTGTAGGTTGCTGTATGTCTTCCTGTAGCTTTGTGGCCCATGTATTGGACAAGACCTTTTGTATCCTCAGCTACTTCTGTAGCTGAAGTGAAAGTCAGAAATTACTGTCATTTGACTTTCAAATGAAATTATGAAATGCTAAGTCAGCCAGCTATAAGCTGTCTCCTGATAAAACCTATTCAAAAGCCATTTAAACTGAAATGTGTCAGTCTTAGCTGGTGCAATATTTTGTGGATATGCTGCAGGACTGAATACTTTAGTAAAGAGTTTAGTTTAACAATCTTGTGTAGGGTTCCCAGGATAATGAGTCTGATCTACTGAGGCTAGGAGTCTACTCGTCTCAGAATTTTAGGGGCATGTGTATTTTGTTTCTTCTTACTCATACTGCTTTTAAACTCTTTACTATGCATTGGTATCAATATATAAAGTTTAGGTCCCTTTAGTAAGATTGTTGTGTGGTCACATTTAACCAAAATAAATGTGAGGTGGTGGACTTGCATTTCTTGGATGTGTACTCCTGCCACTGTCCTTGTGCCACCACTTATGTGCGTGACACTTACATGCTTATAGGAGTGCAAGTGGATCCCTGTCATAGCACAATTTAAGCCTTTCCAGTGTCGTGTTGTAAAGAAGACAGCTTCTCAAGCATTGTGATCACTGCGGGTTTGTCAAACTTGCTGGTTAAGGTTTGTTTTGAGCTTTAGATGGAAATTCATTTACAGTGGTCAGGATAAAAGACCGTTTTATCTTAATCTAGTTGCTGTCATCAGGAGAGATTAGATGAGAGATTACCGTTTAACTGCTTGAAGGGAGACCAAGGTGGCAGAGTGTCTTCGATGAATTGCTTAGGAGCAGTAACAGATGTGGTGACATCTTCTCTTACTGCAGTGGCAGTTTGTGCTTAATAGTTTTAAAATATATTAGATTGAAGCTTTTGTGTGGAGTTAAGTGTTGTCTGGAAACTGTTCTCTCTTCAGAGTGACCTCCATTGCAGATCGATTGAATGTTGACTTCGCTCTCATTCACAAGGAGCGCAAGAAGGCCAATGAAGTGGATCGCATGGTGCTGGTGGGTGATGTGAAAGACAGAGTGGCCATTCTGGTAGATGATATGGCAGACACATGTGGTACCATCTGTCATGCTGCGGACAAGTGAGTAGGGCTGACTGATTCTTTCCTAAATCAGAAACCTGTTGCTAGTGAATGCCATATAATGAGTTAATCAGGTTATCTGCATGTCAAGTTTCACAAAGTAACATACAGTTTCTCGTGTCATACAAAATAAGTAAAAAGCCTAGTTAAAGTTCTCACAGTGGCAACAGATAGAAAACCTTAGTGTCTTTTTATTTGAAAAATACTTGTGTTGAAAGTATTTCTTTTACTAGATCATCACTGATGATGCTAGACATAACTAAGTTCTGTCTGGTCCATCGGCTTAAGGTCATACACCTGAATTTATATCAAAAATAAGCTTTTCAAGCTTTTATATCTTTAAAGCCTTCTTCACTAAAAACATCTGCATATGCAACACTCAATAGTAAATATCTCCTGCCTTCTGTTGGCAAAAATCGCGGAAGGCAATTTGAGTTATCTAGTCCAAATGTCCCAGGGCTAAGAAAGGTATTTTTCTCTAATGTATACTTTTCCTGGGATGGATTTTATGGTACTTCGTTAAACTGTTCTCTTCTGACAAATCAATAGTGGAGGGGGCAATCAAAGGAAGCCTGTCCCCTAAGCATATGATACTGTCTCCTTTCAATGCTTGCCATGTGCACTGCACTAATGTCAGTTTAATACTTGCTAAGAATTTCTTGTCCTTCTGCTTTTTCCCCTCTTATAGGCTTGTGTCAGCTGGAGCCACCAAAGTTTATGCCATCTTAACTCATGGGATCTTTTCTGGACCAGCAATTTCTCGGATCAACAATGCCTGTTTTGAGGCAGTTGTAGTAACAAATACAATACCGCAGGAGGACAAGATGAAGCAGTGCCCTAAAATCCAGGTGAGCATGTACTTCTCTCACTCCTGGTGGGTAGTAGCACTTGTCTGTCCTGCTTTTGGTGGGAAAACCCCACAATACTGTCTTGTGCTTACAGCAGTTTCATTGGTACTTGGAATCAATGGCAGTGTGGACTAGTTCTCTTGTTCCTCTTGCTGTGGGATAACAGACCTGTTACACTGATATAGTGCAGCTTCTAATCCAGCTAATCTTAAACAGTTCATTTAAGTAATTTTTTTTCAGGGCTTCTTTTACCTAGCTTGGATCACTGATCTAATGGAGCTATGATGTAAGCGAGCAGTTGTATCTGTCCACTGTGTAGGAGCGATGTGCTGATGGCATGTAATACTGAAGCAGAAGTAGGTAGGAAGTTCTGAAGTCGGTGATGTCAGCTTCAGTTGTCTGTCACCTAATACCCAGCTTTTTAAGCAGTGTCCCTTCCTTTTGTGAAGCAAAGTAGGCCTGGTCTGAGGAAGGTGAATGCTTCGTGCCTGGTCATAACAGCAGTGCAGGTGAGCTGGAGAGGGAGTGCAGTCTTGTCCCACAGACATGTCTTGCTGGTTTGACTAAGAGCAGTTGACACAACTCCACAGTACAATGTTCAGATACTTGCCAAAGATAAACAAAAACCACTTTGCCATCCATATGAAAGCTGAAAGCTGGTCTCTTAATGCTTATGCTGCATCTTGGATTTTCCATGTAGGAAAGGCATTGTGGTATTTTGTTTCCCAAGCTGAGGCTGACTTTCCTGGAAGAAAAAAATTGGCTGTACAACTTGAGCTAGGCAGGACTTGAGGATTTCCTGTGTTGATGGACAGTTGGAAGTTACAGTTTTACCTAAGCATTCAAGCATAATAGATCCATCAGAAGCTTCAGGTACTGCTACAGCATACATGCAGCCAAGGACATCCTAAATACTGACTTCACAGCACAGATATATGGGCCACAGGCATTTGGAGAAGTTCTGGGATGTGAATGTCACGGCTAAGTCTCAGCTAGTACTGTGTTGTAAGTGTAGCAGGATCCCAAGGGCTGGGGTTTTGGTGAAAAGGAAACTCAACTTGTTCAAGCTGCAGTGAATTTTACACTGGTTTTGGAAGTAAGTTATAAGCTGATTGCAAACTGCTATTGGGTTGCATTTTTTTTTCAGCACTAACTTCTGGATGATATTCCTGCAACTGAGCACATCTAAAAGATGTCTGATGCTTCAGCTTCTTTCCGAGCTCCACACTACAGTTAATGTAGGAAGAATGTTAAACTGATAATCAGTATGTAAATAGCTGTAGCCAAAGATAGTGGTGGAGTAGTTTTTCAAACTTTGACTTAACACATCACTCTCTGACACTAATATCTGATATTCAGTGTTGAGAAATACAGAACTAAAGGATTTGTCATAAGTCTTGCACTCTGTCTGCTCTTCAGCTCTTAAGTTTTTCTTCTTTCCTTCCATAGGAGATAAGCTATGCGGAAAAAAGAAAATATTAAATATGGATTTCACTTAGTTTCCTTAACATACCCTGAACATGGTGCTCCTTCCTGAGACTACGTATATCAAAGTGCTTTATCTGCTGGGTTAAGAGCCAGAGTTTTACTAAGACTTGATTTTTCCCTCCTGTTAACTGGATTGCCCCACAAGGTGGAGCTAGCACAGTGACTGGGAGCTGAGCTTCATCTTTCTTAGTCTGCTGGCAGTAATGGTAAAGCCTCATGACTCAAAAGAAGTGATCTGATCTTGATTTTAGACTCCCCTAACTTCTCTGCAACCTACACAAAGTGAATAAGATAGTCCTAGGGTAAACAGACTGAGCTTAGGGAGGCTCAGCAAAGAAAGGTGACAACAGACTGTCATCCTGACAAAGATCAGCAGTGAAATAATTCTTGTGGTGCTGTATGTAGAATATCTTCAGAATTATAGATAATTAAATCCCAATTCTGTGTATAAGACATTTGTCTGCATCTGGGATGTTATAAATTTGGGTGATGAGTTTACTCTGAGTTCTTCCTAACTTACCAGCTGTTCTTCCAGGCTTGATGTCTTTTCTCAGTGACGCTGATGCATCTTTCTTCCCCTCCAGGTGATTGACATCTCAATGATCCTTGCAGAGGCCATCAGGAGGACTCATAATGGGGAATCTGTCTCCTACCTATTCAGCCATGTCCCTTTATAACAACAGATGCCAGCTGCTGCTTGTGTGGCTTTTTTTTAAAACCAAAAGTTGTTCAGCTTGTTGTAAAGTTCAGTAGAAGACTCTGCTTGTTCCAGTGCAGTTCTCCACAGCTCCTCCTGCTTAAGTCAGGCTTACTGGCTCTGATCCCAACACGGGGAGGCTGGCGGGGGAAGCTCGTCTTTGTAACACTCCAACTCCACCAGCAGCCCTGTGCATTGTGGCTTATCAGTAGTATTGACTCAATTCTGCAGATCTGTGGAGAGCGGGACTGACACATGGCTAATTGCCACAATTATTTTTGGGGGTGGGAGGGAGAGGGTTTGTCTGTGGGCAGGGTTAGATGATCTGGCATGAGCACCCTAAATTTTGTTGGGAAGTAGAGCTTCCTGGGACGTGTTGATCTGGATCTACATCAAGAGCCCAAGAGACTGCTGGCTGTGTTACCACTCTATACCTGACAGAAGCCCTTGAAGAGCGATGGGGAAAGCTTTTATCTTAGCCAAGCTTGACCCTAGGTGAAACCCTGGGGGACACCTGGGAGATGGTTCTGCTACAGCTTCCTCCCATGAAAGGAGATCAGCGTAGCTTGCAAACTTGAATTCATCTTAATTGCTGATGAAATTAAATGCCTTTTAGTGTGCTACACAGCAAAGTGAGGGTGAGAGCGTAGTCTGTGCAGTACTGCCTTCCTGTGTCAACTTAGTGGTGAAGGTGCGTTCTGGAGAAGCATTCTTCTCCCTCTTACGTGGAGGACTCATGGTTGTGGTGTGCTTTAGTTTCTAGTGTAGGCTAAAACCAGTTCCTCAATTTCACAGCTTACTGTTAGCCTTGCTAGTGATTAGAGGACTGCTGTCATGTACTTCAGCTGCACCTTGACTTGCTTTGCAAATCCTTGATACTTTTTTTTACCAGTACACTAGTAAACTGAGCCTCTTTATCCCATAGTAGCTTGGTTGTTTCATCTAGCAAGTGCCTGCTCAGATGCTGGGGTGACCTAGTACACAGCAGCTTTGTGTCCAACTGTCTCAGCCTCTCATTGCCTGCAGTCCTGTTGTCCTGTAAGTTACAGACACATTCTGGTTGCTTGTCCTGGTCACTCTCTGCCTTGCCTTGAAAGTGCTCCTCCTTGCAAAAGATCTTAAACCAAGGAGCATAGGAGGTTGCAGGACTACAAAACATGAAATAAGCCCTTGGAGTGGGTTTGATGCTGCTAATGAGTGTTTATGGCAATGGGTTGAAGAGGGTGGTGATACATAGTACTGGGAAAACTGTAGATCTAACACCAACCTGACAGGCAGCAAGGTGCCTGAAAGAAAAATACCAAAACTAGAGCTGGCTGAGGCTCCCAGATGTAATAAGTATCATCTGAAACTTGAATACTTAGTAACTGTACCAGACAATTGTAAAGTAAACTGTTAAGTCTCCCCTGTACTCGTATGGGGTTGTAGATTAAGCTGTTTTATGCTCTGGTTTTCATAAGCACTCCTCTTTTATTTGTTTTTGAGCTGGAGGAAGGGGAAAAAGGGAAAAGAAGGAACTTGAAATTACTTGCTAGAGCAACCAGCATGGCTTTGAGAGGCTAGGGGCTGGGTTATAAATGGAACTGACTGAAAGACTTGGTTAAGATCTAGGGAAGTACTCCTTTAGTTGTGCCTTTTACTGAAGTCTTCTCTCCCTTCCTAGAATTCCTATCCTGTGACAACATTAACACTTCTGTTACAGTGTAGTGTTTTTCTTTTTGTATAAGAATTGGTGTTTGTCTGGAAAGTGTGTCTCTTGCTTCTTTGCTTTGCATCCTGCACTGAGCTCTACCAAGAGTCTGATTCCTGCCTCCTGTATTGGACCCCCTGCTGCTACACTGCCGGTGCCCCGAAAGCCAAGAGCCAGGACATCGGAACAGCAGTGTGAGGATTTTCAGCAGCATTTGTGTTTAAAGTTAAGACCTGATGAAGGAATTAAAGTTTTATTTAAAAACCATGGCTTCTGCCTATAAATGCCTCTAAAAACCCTACAAAGGTGACGTGCATCTTCTGAGTTGGGTCGCTTGCAAGGTGGATCGTGGAGTAATGTTACTTGGAAGAGACCTTTGGAGGTCATCTGGTTTAACCCTCTTGCAGTGAGGCTGACTGTGAGGTTCAGCCTGGCTGTGCTCACATTGTAGGAAGAAGCTGGTGACCAAGCTACTTCTCCTAGTGGGCTGTGGCTTTTGTCTATATCTGATTTCCTAGACTTAATTGTTCAGAAGTAGTAGTGCAGTTTCTGTTGTAGTGTTCAGTTATGGATCAGAGAAGATCTGTTCATGTAATGTTCAGGTAGGGGAAAACCTGAATAGTTTAGGAAGTACAAATGAAGGCTTGCTAAGTATCTTGCACAAAACTCATGATCAGAGGCAGCAGGATTATGTCCTGAGAAGCACTTACTCTGACTAAATCGTGATCCTTTCTTGTTGCTTATTGTGTGCTGAGAATGTATAAATGAAGTCAAAAGGATGAGATGGCAGGTCTAGAGAAAAGTCTTTGGCCTTACAATAGACTTCCAGGCCTAGACTGAGCATTGCTTCAGGAAACCATGGCCTCAGACTTTTGCTGAGAGTCACTACTATAATTCATCTGTTAAAACATTTTGGTACTGGTCAGTGAATAAGTGAACTGTATATTTTTTTCCTCAAATAGCAGGGAAGGTGGTGTAGCAGACTTTACCTTCCTTAGAGGAGAAGCAACATGAGCTTTACAGCCAAAAAAATGTACAAAGGTGACCATTGCTGTTGGTGTGTATATACTGTTCTCTTAGATACTTTAATAAAACCTGGGGGCTGGAATGGGGGAGGGTACAGACTTAAATGCTGTATGACAGCACTGTAGCTCTTAAAAGGATGGGTGATTCAGTGTATGAGAACTGTCCCAAGGAGGTAGAACTCTTCTGCTCTGGAAACCTCCTTCAGATCAGAAGGGCTGGACACCTTACCAAAGTTCCTTCCCTAAATTAAAGAAAAAAAAACCAAAAAAAACCCCAACACCTACAAACCTATTTGTAGGCAGTTTGTGACTCGCTGACTAGAAGTGACCATTGTGCTATTAGAGCTAGTACGGCTGCCTTTAACATGTGCATATAGTAGAATTAGAGGGCTCTTTTCCCTGTCCAGGACAGTCGTGGAAGTTGTACCAGGAAGCTGTGGGAAGGATGTCCTTCACTGCACCATGGGCTGAGAGGAAACCAGCCCGCGGTGTGAATGGCAGAGAGCCAAGTTCCCCCAGTGTCTTCGAAGCTTGGGAGTGATGCAGGGATGCTCATCCCTTAGCCCAGGCAGGCTCAGCAGCATCAGCCGTGCTGTGACATGCTTGTGCTATCTTGAGCTACCTGTTGTAGTGGAGGTAATTCTCCAGCCTGTCCTGGAGAGCTGCTGGAGTGAGTATGGAGCATGCAGGTCAATTCTGTGGTGGCTCCTCAGGCTTTGGTTTTTTGGTTGAAGAAATGCCATAAAAAGTAAGTCATTACTTCCTCAGGAGGAAAATCCTAAGTGAGTGATTTTCTGTGCTTTTGCAGTTGGAGAGCTGGAAGAGCAGGGCAGGGCTGTAGCAGCTTGCTGTGCCACAGCCAGAGCGTGGCTGCAGGTGTGCAGATGCTGATACTGGTGCCAGTCGCTGTCTCCTGTCTGCCTGAATGCTGCCTGCTGTAATAGCAGCAGAAGGGAACACATCAATTAGAAGTCCTCTATTTCAGCCCAGCTCGCCTGTCTGCGTAGCTGAAGCTGACACACGGGGTGGGGATGCCTTAAGCCACTGTGAAAGCTGGGGTTACCATTTGTGCCTTGCAGGCAGCAGGACCTGTCTGCTGTTTGGAGCAAAACAAGACAGCTCATTGCTCCCACCAGCAGCTCCCTCCTTCTGCTTCTCCCTATGCCTTACTAGTGTACAGATGGTTTTTCATCTCCTAGAGTCAGTATTTCTGTGATGTAGAGAAAGCAGCAGCTTGCCTTGCTGCAGTTGGGCAATGGGAAAGTAGCAAGGGTTAACAGAAAGCCCTTTAAACTGCAAGGAGCAGCAAAATCCACGGGAGGAATGAGCCCTGGTGTAAGACACAGCAGCTCCAGTGTGTTGTCTGCATTCCTGGGGCTCTGTGCTCCTGTCGAAGGAAAGGGCTGTGGTAGGAGGATGGGGTTAAAAGTAAGCAGGAAGATGTAAATTGTCTGCAGAGCAGGGGGACTGGCTCACAGCTGGGCAGAGGTGGCTGAAGGGGCTCAGGTCCTGGCTGGCTGTGGTGGTGCCCTTGCCTGTCCCTGCAGGCAGGAGGGGTCGGTAGGCAAGTGGCTGAAAAAAATTCTGATCAGACAGAGAAAACCTTTTGCCTCCTCCTTCCTGTACAAAAGAATAAAGTGTTCCTGGAAATGGCCATCGGCAGGGCTGTTTCTGAGCCCTGACAGCCTTGTTCTGTGGGAGATTTAAAACTCATCTAAAATGGCTGACAGTTCTTTTCTATTTTGAGTCATGGCTGTTTTCATTTTCCTCCTATCTGTTGATGTCTCGGTTCTTTTGTTATAAATTATTGAAAGCAGAAATACCAAAACACATGAGAAAGAAGGTTGTGTGGTTACGGGAGGGTTTAGAAATTTTTCAGGGAGAAAAGCTTTTGCTGGGGTATAAGCTCCTTTCTTGTTCTTTGTGCAAGATGGGTTTTAAAAGCTCCCCAGCAGCAGCCCCCCACCTTGCCTGTTGGAAATGCAGAGGACTGGCTTTAACGCTGCTCTGGCTGTGGTTTGTAGAAGCGTGGCAGTGCCTGTGTGGCGGGGGCTGGAAAAAAAACTCTTCCCCTGCCTGCATGGCCACGGTAGCAACTTTGTGCCCAGACAAAGACCCCGGGGTTTGCAAAGCACTGCAGCATCGCAGCAATGCAACACTTCACACGGGCTGCGCCTTGGCTGGGGGGCTGCAGCTGATGCTGGCAAGGGACTGTGCACGCGGCAGACGGGTACCAGGTCCTTTCGCACTTGCTGCCTGCCAGGGACAGCAGCCTGCAGCATCCGCAAAGAAGCATGTGGAGAACAGGCAGGAAACGGGGGGGAAGCTGGGGGGAAGGTGGGCACAGCTGTAGAGTAAACACGTGGTAAAACACTTGTCTATTTGCATAAAGACAAAGAGGATTTCCTGCTTTCATTTTGAAACTGGGTGGGGGTTTTTTTTTGTTTCCTTTTGGCTGTGCAGGAAAAATGAGCCCTTTCTCAGCTCAGGGTGGGCTTTGTGATGCAGGCTCTGCAGGGTGGGTTTGGAGGATGCTCATGGAGGCAGCCCTGCCTGGGCTGGCTGCTCGTGGCTGTGT